CCGAGCCTTGCACAGATCTGCCTTGGCAGGAGCTCACCTCTGACTAACGGCCTCTGAACCGGGGAGCAAAGGAATTACCAGAAAAAAAGGCTAGAAGCCCTTCAGGGGCTAAGGCCTGGTCTGCACGAAAACAGGTCAACCCAGCTCCATGGCTGGGCGAGTGAAAAATCCACATCGTTAAGCTGACTGAATACCTGGTGTAGCCAGCACTTGGTCAACAGGAGAGTTCTTCCCTCCATCTAGTTACTGCCTCTGGGGGAGGTGGATTTCCTACATCCCGGGGGAACCTCTCCCCTCACTGTAGGAAGCGTCTACACTGGTGCAGTGTGTTAAGGGTAGAGGTCACATGAGAATAAACAACTTTGGCCCAACCTTTCAAAGCTAGGTGCCTAAAATAATAAGCTCCTAAATCCATAGGTCCATGAGTAAAGTGGTCCCATGGTCCCAGGTGTTGAGCATTTGCACCCGTCCTTGGCTTCACTTGGATTTGGAGGGCTGTGCACTTCGGAAAATCAAGCCGCTTTCATTTAGGCGCCTAAATATGGAGCTAGGAGCCCATTGTTTGACACCCAAGCTTGACTGTTTGGGCCAGTTTGCTTACGTGGTTTTATGGAAAATAGGACTTACCCAAGAGATAACAAATGTGGGTGATAAAGGTAACTGCACAGATGTAATATACACTTTTGTAAGGTGTTTGATTTAATACTGCATGCTATTCTGATTACAAAATTACTACTATGCAATATCAACCACCCAGTCAATGGATTAAGAACCAGTCTCAAAAAGTAGCTGTCCATGGGGAATCATCATTGAATGGGGGTGTTTCTAATGTGGTTCCCCAGGGATTGGTACTAGGCCCACCACTATTCAACATTTTCATCAATGACCTGGAAGTAAATATAAAATCACTGCTGATAAAATGTGTGGAGGATACACATTACCAGAGTGGTAAGAAATGAGGCCAGGCAGGTATACAAAGCAATCTGGGTCATTTGGGAAGCCAGCCCCCTTCAGATAAAATGTGTTTTAATACAGCCAAATGCAAAGTTATAGATCTAGGAACAAGGAATGGCTGGCCATACCTACAGAATGGAGGACTGTATCCTGGAAGGCAGCGAATAGGAAGGTCTGAATTATTCCATCCTGTAGAGAGCAGTGGTGCAAACAAATGAGAGATCAACAAGTCCAACTGCACCGAAATCTCTTACCAGTAAAATGGTGGCTGACAGGAGACACAGTTGTTTAGAGGCTAAAGTACTAGACTGGAAGTCAGGAGATGTCAGTTCTAATCTCTGCTTTGCTCTTGCTGTGGACGTGGCCCTGAGCGTGTCTCTGCCTCAGCACGCTCACCTGCAGAATGGGTCTAGCACTCACTCACCTGGCAGGGTATTGGGAGGTTTAATTGCCATTTGTAAAGCATTTCCTGCCCTACACCTGAGAGGGACTCCAGATCGGCAACAGAGTATTATAACACACATCCCTTTTCAGGAGCACAACCCGTTTCTTCTAAACGCACTGAACCAAATACAGTCCTGGTGTCAAGGGACTGAGTTCTACTCATGTCAGGAGAGTTCATCTTGCTTGCCCCATGGCAGAATTTGGCCCTACAACTCTACTGGCTGACTCCCACCTGACAGACAGGAGAGGGGAAGCAGGCTTGCTAAACGATGAGGAGCAGGACTGTTCCTGTTCTAACAGGTGCTGAATGCCGATTAGGAGTCTAGAAGCCTCTCTTCTAATTGGAGCCATGACTATGGTGCTGAGGTTACTGTGCTGGGCAGTGGACGAATGACGCCTTCTTTTCAGTACTGCAGGCCAGGTTTCATGGCATGCAGCAATACCCATGCCCTGGACACATGTTTCAGACCATCTCAGACAGAGTATTGTGTTAAGATGAGAAGGAGAGGTCCATCTAGGTCAATGACAGGAGCTTTTCAGTGCGGCTCTTGCCTTCTTGCTAGGAAGCACAAGGAGGAGGAGTGAGGGTATAGGCCAGGAGATGGCTGGCTCCCTTGAGCATGAACTGGGGGCCTTTCCCCTTTGATGGGACAGTCAGAGAAGCAGTCAAGGGCCATTCATGGTTGAGAAACGCTCTGCGCAAGGGGCAGAGCCTGCCCCAGGGGCATTAAGAAGCAGCAAGAAGTTACTTACAGGGTCTTGTGTGTTGCAGTGGGGATGGATTTAGTCTGGGCCTGTATGTTCCTCCCAACCTGCCCTGCTCGTCAGAGGGCAACAGTTTCAGTTCTCAGACCCTTACATGGTTTCCTAACTGTAAGCCTGGGGGTTGAGTAATAGAATCATAGCATATCAGGGTTGGAAGGGACCTCAGGAGATCTAGTCCAACCCTTGGGCCCCTGCTCAAAGCAGGACCAATCCCCAACTAAATCATCCCAGCCAGGGCTTTTTCAAGCCTGATCTTAAAAACTTCTAAGGAAGGAGATTCCACCACCCCCTGGGTAACGCATTCCAGTGCTTCACCACTCTCCTAGTGAAAAAGTTTTTCCTAATATCCAACCTAAACCTCCCCCACTGCTACTTGAGACCATTACTCTTTGTTCTGTCATCTGCTCCCACTGAGAACAGTCTAGATCCATCCTCTTTGGAACCCCCTTTCAGGTAGTTGAAAGCAGCTACCAAATCCCCCCTCATTCTTCTCTTCTGCAGACTAAACAATCCCAGTTCCCTCAGCCTCTCCTCATAAGTCATGTGTTCCAGTCCCCTCATCATTTTTGTTACCCTCCACTGGACGGTTTCCAATTTTTTCACATCCTCCTTGTAGTGTGGGGCCCAAAATTGGACACAGTACTCCAGATGAGGCCTCACCAATGTTGAATAGAGGGGAACGATCACGTCCCTCGATCTGCTGGCAGTGCCCCTACTTATACAGCCCCAAATGCCATTGGCCTTCTTGGCAACAAGGACACACTGTTGACTTATATCCAGCTTCTCGTCCACTGTAACCCCTAGGTCCTTTTCTGCAGAACTGCTGCCGAGCCATTCGGGCCCTAGTCTGTAGCGGTGCATGGGATTCTTCCGTCCTAAGTGCAGGACTCTGCACTTGTCCTTGTTGAACCTCATCAGATTTCTTTTGGCCCAATCCTCTAATTTATCTTGGTCCCTCTGTATACTATCCCTACCCTCCAGCGTATTTACCTCTCCTCCCAGTTTAGTGTCATCTGCAAACTTGCTGAGGGTGCAATCCATGCCATCCTCCAGATCATTAATGAAGATATTGAACAAAACTGGCCCCAGGAGCGACCCTTGGGGCACTCCACTTGATACCGGCTGCCAACTAGACATGGAGCCATTGATCACTTCCCGATGAGCCCAACAATCTAGCCAGCTTTCTATCCACCTTACAGTCCATTCATCCAGTCCATACTTCTTTAACTTGCTGGCAAGAATACTGTGGGAGACAATGTCAAAAGCTTTGCTAAAGTCAAGGAATAACACGTCCACTGCTTTCCCCTCATCCACAGAGCCAGTTATCTCGTCATAGAAGGCAATTAGGTTAGTCGGGCATGACTTGCCCCTTGGTGAATCCATGCTGACTGTTCCTGATCACTTTCCTCTCCTCTAAGTGCTTCAGAATTGATTCCTTGAGGACCTGCTCCATGATTTTTCCAGGGACTGCGGTGAGGCTGACTGGCCTGTAGTTCAGGGCCCTCCTGCTGCTATTAAACCCTAGCAGAACAAGGATAGCTGCACCACCAAGGTTTGGGGACCAGCCCCAGAGCTGGGATGCTTAGTGAGGTGCAGGATCTTGTACTGGTACATGCATCTTTAGTCAGCATGGCCTCCTATGCAGCAGTTTCCTTGGTCTTATTGTTTTCCACTGTGAGATACGACTGCCCAGGATTTCAAATGCAGCCTGGGCCAGTTCCCAGCTATTCCCAAAGCAAAGGCAGAAACCAAGTTCAGATGGGAGAAAGGCTAGGTGTTTTGATCCCCCTGTGAAGCTTGATTTGCCGACAATTTAAAACAGGCTCCCTGCCCTAGCTGCCCAACAGGTTGCAGAGAGAGGACCAGCCCTGGACAACTAAAGAAAGCATGCACTGTCCTGCCGACTGGCATCACTCAACACAAGGCAGCTCAGGCACCTGACAAGCTGAGACGCTCTCCTACCCTGGGCCAACAGAGAACCCAAAACTGAAACTACAAGGATCAGGCAGGATTCAAAACCACAACAAACCTAGGCAGGCCCCTGGATAACATAACCCCTGTATAGCTGGAGTACATGGGGATGCAGTAGTGATAAACATTGTCCTGCAGTCTTTACTGTTGGTGATGCACTAAGATAGAAAGAACCCAGCTTGACTTTCAGATCCCAGGGGGAGTTTGCAGGGCTGGCAGTTTGGGGTGGGGGGAATATTTGTAAACAAAACACATTCCCTGACCCGCTAGGTCAATTTGTACAGAGCAGAGCTTCCTTGGATTGCACCTGGTTTTACTTTACAAGGATTTGTACCCACTCCAAAACTCTTCTCTGAACTAGTTCACTGGAACATTTCAGACCTTGGCTCTTCGAGATGCACACAGCAGCAGAGAGACAGCTGTGTCTCTCCCGCAAACTTCTGGGGGTAATTTGCATTTCTTGGAAGGACAGCCAACCGCAGTAAGCATCACATTCACCACTGGGCCTTGGTTCATTTCATGCCGCATCCCTGCTCTGCTCCAGATGCGGAAGGCATTAGCCCTTCAGTTAGCTAACTGGCACGGTGTCTAGTGATTCCCCAAATAAAAGTGAGTGTTCAACAGTACAGCAGATGGCTGCAGCATGGAACTCTGATCAGCACACCAGACTAATTAATCAGCACGTTTCCCACTCCATCAGGGCGTGCTCATTAAGAGGATTCCTTTGTATTCCGAACTTCGATCCTACATGTACTCCATTCTTGAAATTAACCAGAGCTTTGACACCATGCAATTCAGAGGCGTCCATGACAAAATAGCAGAAACACAGACACACCAGAAAAAAAAAAAGGAGAGAGACATCCAGCTTGCAGCAGGTTTCAGTTTATTACATAATCTCTGAATGCAGTAAAACCTGAGAAAGCAGCAGGGGCTGACACATGTGTAGAAGACTCAGCCTTGTAGAGAGCAGAGCACACGGACTCTGCCAAGGCAGAGGCAAAGAGACAACACAGTGCACACACTCCTGTGCTGAGCTTTCTCCTGGCTCTGGCACCCACCCCGAGGGATGGGTGCTGGGCAATGGCCTGCACCCATAGAATGTTGCTCCAGGTAGAGAGTCTGCCCTAGAACACATGACTAAAGGAGACGGTATTTCCCACCTCCCGAGGGGAGCCCAGTGGCAGCAGTTCTCGGCCCTGCACTAGAGAAGCTGTCTGGTAGCGTCTCTTCCTAGCCCAAAGGCAGCTTCGGGAGGGAGCAGCTCCTCTGAGGCCTAAAGAAGCCAAACAACGACAAGCAATGCAGGAAATAATTCATTGGTCCTGGAGGAGAAGACCCTAACTAGTCTCCAGTAGGAAGATCCTTTCCCAAATGTCCTCTTCCACTCAGCATCCTCCCACCCCTACCCTCCAATTGTCATTGTATTGGATTTAGGGCACAATCTTTGCTCCCATCATTGAAGGCAGCAGGCATGAAGAACCCAGCTTGGCTTTCAGATCCCCACACTAGCAGCACCACAGTCAAGGATTTTACAGGATCAGAGCCTTGCACATTTCTACTGAGCCCAAGAAACAGCCCAGTTTAGCTTTTAGTCATTCAGAATCTCATTCTTAATGTGCTACAGAAGCATCTGAGAAGAGTCAGGGATCAGAGAGGACATCAAATCTCATTCCCGTATCAGCACAGCACTGAGGCAATGGATTGAATTGGATGGTAAACACAAAACAGGGGGGGAGGGGAAGAGTTCCCAGCCTGTTCGGAACCTAGTGGTGACCAGTGCAATTCCAGGGTAAGTACCCAAGAACTCGGAGGGGAGACACTTGGGAAAGCAGACTGCAGCATACATGGGCTAAAGTGTCAAATGATCTGCAGCCAGTGTAACAGAAGACAGCATCATTCCCGTGTAGCTGCAGTGTAGCTAGCTGCATTGACAAAATACGTTCACCAGTGATTTGGGGCCTGGGGCCCCCTCCTGGATCCCTTTGCTCATCCAGAACACGAGGGTGGGGAGCTCTCACTGACCGAAGGGATGTGAGCAAAAGGCTTAAATTGCAACGGACCCGGGGCTACCTTTGGCCCACACAGAGCGATGGAGACTTTGTTAACAGGCAACTTTGGTTTATTGTTGGGGTGCTCGCCAGAGTGCCCCAATTTGGCCTTGAAAATGGCAAGAGTCACTCCAGCAGGCAGCTGCAAGTGCAACATGAACACGTTTTGCTCAAAGCTTGAAAAGAAACCCCTGGACTCTAAAATATTAGCAAAGGAGTGAAAACTATGCCTCTGGCTCGGATTCCGGGGAGCTGCCCCGTCCGCATGATACAATAGGGGCTGCAGATGCTACAGCGAGATCACTGTGGGCTGCTAGGGACCATTAATGTCGCACAGGATTGTAAATGCGACATACAAATATGCATCAGGGTGTCAGTACACACATACGCAGTACAAGGGTTGATTGCTGCCTTTACAGATCCTGGTTAAATTCTGAAGTGTGTTCTAAAGCAAGGCTCTTATTTTATTCAAGTTGCAAATGCAAAAAAACCTCAATGGCTTGAGAGCTGAAAGCTAGAAAGTGACTCTTCCCTGCGCTTTCCTTCTTCGCCTGCGCATACGATAGTGTTAAGGCTGCATTTGTCACTGAGAGTACAAACAGACAAACCCCTGCGTAACTATTGTAGACAGAGACACGATTTTGGCACAAATCTGCACTGGAACCATTATGAGCTCTTGGCACTGGGCAAGGACAGGGTTACGGTCCCCCGGGGATACAGTACAAGTGTTAACAACGCAGTGTGACGTTTATTGAGTCTAGCTAGGTACTTGTCTGGCTCCCAGCACTGGAATATCGAGCGGCGTGGGGGGGGGGGGGGTGTGGAGAGGCAGAGTGGAAGGGAATGTGGGAAGAGGCAGTTTAATCAGAGAAGGCCGAGTGGCAGGCGAGCACTTCACCTTTCTCAGATGTCAACAAGGTGCCTCTGTCACAGGGGTGAGGAACCTGGTCACGCTAGGCTGGAAGTCACGCGCCTGGGAATGTTTCCTCAGCGAGGAAAAGGAAAAGGAAGGTACCACCACTCAGTGCAGGGTCTCTACCACAGCAGCAGCCGTGCCGCCAGGAGCCTGGGCGAGTGGCTGGGATGGTAGAGGACATGTTCTGGGCACTGAGTTCCTTGCAGGTTCCATAGCAAAGCCCCTCAGTGCTCCCAGGAGGCGGTACAGGGTGGATTTCCTCTCTCCTCCAGGGGAGGTGGCTGGGCAGGCAAAGCCCCTAAGGGAAGGCGCGTGTTCGGAGCCACAGGTCTGAATCACACGCTCCGACTCTAGGAGGCAGGGTCATTGCCTGCACCAAGGGGCCTCCCCTCAGCTTTCTGGCTTAAACCAGAGGCTAAATGGCCAGTGTGTGCCACGCAGCTCACTTCACGATCAACCCTCTTTGGCCCTAGTGACTCCCACTGGAAAACGCTAAGACTGAGGCACTTGGCAGCTCTGGTAGGGGGGGCTGGAGCTCTCCCCCAGCCAGGGGTCCCCCACCCCGCCCTGCTAGCGACTCCTGCTTCTCGAGATTGGGTGTGGAATAGCCGTGAGTGGCTTGCAGCCTGGGGTGCCACACCATTCCCTAGAGTGCTTCCTAGAGGTAGAGGATGGGACTGGAGGAGCAGCAAGCTCCCCATACCCAGGGACATCACACCATTGCAATCGTGCCCCTGCAGCCAGTGCTCCAGCCCCACGCACTCCAGCGCCTCCTGCTGGGAGAGGCGGGAGATGGCAGTGAGCTCAGTGGAAACCTTTGCTCGCTTGGCTCTGTTTTCTCAAAGGCAAAAGGAAACATGGACTGAATTGTAATCTGGTTGGAGAATCATGGCCTCTCTTCTCCCTTTTGGGCACTGATCTATTCCCCCCCCAGCTCCACCCCCAGGCTAGTGGAGCTGGCCTTTGCAAAGTTTGCAGATATAGTCCCCTCCCCCCCACCATCATTTTAGCACATGATCAATAATTTAAACTACTCCACAGTTCGATCCTATAAATAAAGATGTTCAGGGTTTGATATGGGCCCAAGTGGCTGGGCACAAGGCACCGCTCCTAGTGAAATGTCCATATAATTTCTTCCGGGTTGGTCATCTTCCTCCAGCTGTTGCCTCGCGGTGGTGGAGGAGACGGTGCCGCTGCCCGGGGCTGCTGGCAGGCTCAGTCGGTTTTCCACACCTTGTTGAGGACCTTGACCACTTCGTCATAGATTACGAAGACGATGGCCACATCCAGACAGACCCGGCCCAGGCGAGGCACGGTGCCCTTGTAAAACCTGCCACGAGAGGAGAGGAGAGGAGAGGTGAGGGAGAGCAGAGAGCCCCACTCAGGCCTAGGCCAGGCACAGCTTGGCCAGGTGTGGGAGCAGGCCTAGCCCACCCGCTCCCAGAGATCTCTGGTGGAGATGCAGCCTGGTGTAAAATGGCGCCAATGCCCGGCAACCACACTCTGTGAGGTTCACCCTGCTCTCCAGCTCAGCCTCTAGCCCTTCACACTCAGCACAAGCAGGGACCGGCCCAGTCTCTGCTGGAATGAAAGGGGTTTGGGGAAGGGCTGCTTCCTGCCCGGCGAACCCCACCCAGAGACCCCAACTTTTTAAGATTCCCAGTCAGGGCTTTCTGGCCAACTGCCCCACTCCTGTCACAGGATCCGCTCTCCACACCAGCCGCTTTTTCAGATTCCAGGCCAGCTCCTCGGGGGCGTCGGTCACTGTTGACTTCCCTGATTTTACCCTAGCTGAGGCTCTGGGCCTGTGCTTCTGTGGCATGTGTAGAGAGGCTAATAAAATCCACATAGGTCTCTCTCCCCTCTTCCCTGTGTGGGTCTCTGCTCCTCCTCTCACAGCCAGGCCTCGCTGCTACTCCTACCATCCACCAGGCCCTTGCCTTTCCCATCTCATCCCCCATGCCTCCGGGACAGGCTCCTGCTTCTCGTGTGCCGGTGACCTGTTCTCCCTTCTGCAAATCCCACCACAAGGTGCCTTTTACCCATGATGGTGACGGATCCCTTTGCCTCCTATGGCACTACTCCCCGTTTCACCGTACGGGTGCGAACTGCTTCGCCAGCACTCGGCTGCAGGGGAGGGATTGTCCCTGTTTCCCTGTGTTCACCCAGCCCTGAGCCCCCTGCATGGAGACGAGATGCCAGACTCACGCGATGGGCCCTTCGTATTTCATGATCTGGTAGGCGCAGTCCCAGGTGCTCTTGTACTTGTGCGCTTCAAGTCCCTAGAGAAAGCGGAGAGAAGGGTCAGAGACCTGTAATGGGTGGATCTATGCCACAGTTCCCAGCACAGCTCCCACAAGCCGTGGCTCCATCCTGGGAGATTCTGGAAGGGCCCCGAGGCGGGGGGTGGGGGGGCTTCTGTTTGCACAGCCGGAGCTGTCACAGCAGTGACTGCCATCCTCGCCAGCCTGGTTGTGTGGGAGCCTGACCCTAAGAAGGGCCGTGGGGTGCTTAGACGTGGTCTAACCCAAATAACAATGGCCACCCCCATGCCCCACTGCAGGTGTTTTTGTGTGGCTGCAAGGTGTGTTGAGACGGGCTACGGAAGTGATGCTCAGACAGGGGCTCTTTGCAGCCCTTGCTATTAAAACACTGTGGGATTTAATTATTAGCCAATTTAAGTTATTAACCAATCAGGATGCTTTTACTGTGTTATTACCCAATTGTAGCAGATAAAATAATACGTGGTCAGTCACTGCTGTGAGAATAATATAGAACTAGTAAACGAAGCAATGAATTCACATGATTGTGGCTCTTTGGGGATCGCTGATCGGGCTCCTGAACTGAGAATCACTGGGCTACGGGACTGCTAGGAGAAGAACATGCCAAATTCCTCTAGCCCAGGGGAGCCCTCGGCCTGGTCTGCCTAGGAGTGAATCGCTGGCCGTTAATTCAGGTCCCCAGAGGGCAGCGCGACCACAGCCATGGAGCACAGCATGGCTAGTGTGGACACACTGCTGCACTGGGCCTCACTCTCCCATCAGGCCAGGCACCCCAGCAGTCGTTCTCTAGGGCAGACAGGGCCTTTGTGGGGAGCAGTCTCAGTTCCAGCTCCTACTCCTCCATCGGGAAGGCGCCGTGTGGCACTTTGCCACGTCCCATTTCGGCGCTTGGCCCAGCGGTCATGGTCTAGATGAGAGCAGGAGACATGGAGCACCCAGAGGCAAGAGGTGAATGATAGGCTCTCAGCAGAAGCCCAGAAGCCACACGACCACATGCTGTACCTGCATTCTGGTTTTCACCACATCCAGGGGGGTGTTGCCAAAGACGCTAGCCGCTCCGGCAATGGCCCCAAATATCCCGGTGACGAAGGGGTTTATGACCTTGTTGGGATCATCCCCTGGGAAGAAGGAGAGCGACACAAAAGGGGCAGGCAGAGGGAAAGAGGGTGGAGAGAGACACAAGAGCAGAGCTCATGAGCAACAAGAGGTGGGAGTGTGCTGGGACGTCACTGAGTGACACTGCACATGAGAGTGACAAAGGCCCCGACAGGCTAGGGGTGCAATGGGGGGTGGGGGGGTGAAAGGAACGGGGCCCCGCAAGTGAGAGCCCCCAATGCAGCTGGAGAAGAGAGAAGGGCCGAGGGGGCCAGAGATGCTCTCTCTCTCTCCAGGTGCGCACAGTGAGCAGAGGGGCCAGGCTGCCTGTTTGCCGCCAAGAGTCCTCAGACCCCACAGGTCATAAGGCAGGGAACACACAAGCCTAGGCCAGGGCTGGCCTAGCAGCGAGTGGGTGGGAAAGCACTCCCGACTGGCTTCTGAACAGACTGTCAAAAGGGCCCAGGCCCAGTGTGTGCGGGCAGGGGTAGGGGTGTTGAGAGCGAGCACAGGAGAAGTAGATATGTGTATACTGCAGCAGACAGGTGTGAGCAGGGGCAGAGTGGAGGAGACCCCATTAGAGTTCCCCCTTACTCGCCGTCTGCATCCCCCTGGGCTTTTAACCCAGGCATCCCCTCTCCCCAGCTCTGTCCTGCCCTGGGGCCTTCCTCAGGCTCGTCAAAGTGACCCCACAAGAAACTGGTGGCGGCGCGTTTCACTCGGAGGGAGGAGCGGGAGCTCAGCTGAGGCTGGAGAAGCCAGCCCTCGCTGCAGCAGGTCACCGTGCTGTGTGGCTCTCCGCCCGCAGCGCTCCCCGGAAGAGGCAGGGCATGGCACGGAGACGCGGGGGCAAGGCAGCGGGAGGGAGGCAGAGCGCGGGTACCTTTGTACCAGTTCCTGAGCGCCGTCATGACGAAGAAGCGAATGGCCTGGTTTGATCCTTGCTTGAGGACAGTAGCGGTTAAACCCTGGTAGGTTCCCTTCAGACCTGCGGCAGGGGAGAAGGGGCAGCATTTGAGGAGGGGAAGCAGCATGACACTGGTCTCCCCAGGACAGCCACCGACCCCATGCCTTGCTGTGGCCCACAACACAACTTCCCCTTTCCCCCATTCATACACCCACCCCGGCAGGGCCCACAGCACAAAGCCCAGCTCCTCCCCAGCTCTTTCTCGTGCCCCACCCACTTGGCCCTGCCGTCAGGATGGCCGAACGGGCTAAGGTGCTGCGTTCAGGCCGCAGTCTCCTCTGGGGACGTGGGTTCGAATCCCGACCCTGACAAGCCCTCTTAATAGCAGGCGTTGGGGGAGAGAGGCATTTCTCCTAATTCTCGTTGGCAGCAGGGTGGGGCCTGCTCTGCGTGGTTTTGGTGGCCTGTCATTTGGCCTCCCCCGCCCTCCTATGGATATGCCGACAGGGCTGCACGGCTTTCCCCTGACTAGGCCAGAAGAGGAAAGGTGCTCAGGCCTGGGAAGCAGGTCTCCCAAGAACCAGCCTGCCTGAGGGATGAGCAGACACTTGGGAGCCAGTGTTTTTCAAGGCCCTACAGTGCTGGCTGCCTTGGCAGCTCACAGACCAGTCTCCCACTCTGGTGGAAGGAGGCAGTTCACAACCCAGTGTGGCGGGGCCTTGCACACTGAACGCAAGGATAATGTGGCGCGGAGGCGCTGAATAACGCTGCCACGCCAGGGCCCTCACCCTGCTCGCGGATGATCTCCCGCACGCCGTGGAAGAAGCCACGGTACTTCGGTTTGGGGGAGCACTGGTCATGGATAAACTTCACCTGGAGGGGAGAGAAGGTTAGGATTTGTTAATCCCAATCTGCATGTGAAGAGACACCCATTCCTCAAGCTATAGGAGCCCAAACATCCCAATCAGATGCCTGGCAGCGGGGCTCTGCTCAGGGATTCAGCAGCGAGGATCTTTGCTAATCTGGGGCAGCGCCATACTGATGCCGTTCCAGAGCGGAACGAAAACCCTGTCCAAGGTTTACCTACAACTGCGGACGTGTTTGCTCATGCACTCCACATGCAATCAGAAAGGGAAGGGACCTGTGCAGTCTAGGGATGAAGGACTGCAGCTAGGTCTGGAATACTTGAAACACACAAGGCTTGGCACCTGCAAGGGGAGAGTCTACAAGTCCCAGGATGGGAAGAAGGGTAGCTATTGCTAGCTCAGGCCAGCAAAGCATGAGAGCATCTTCCCCAATGCTTAATCTCTTGGTCACCTGTGAGAGCATATAGCATCAGGTCAGTAAATAACAGTCCCTTCACCCTATCTCTAAGCACTTTGCAAAGGAGGGTCCATCTATTTATCCCCACTTGGCAGATGAGAGCTTTGAGAAGCAGAGAGGTGACGGGATGGGCCTGGGTTCACACAGCACGTCAGTGGCAGAGATGGGGACAGACTTCGGAGTCCCAGTCTTGCTGCTGCTGCTCACAGCAGTCAGCCTCTTCTTAGGATTATGCTGAAGAGTCATGCAAGCAGAGGCCAGTTTCCCAGCCCAGTCCCTGGCTCTCACGTTACACTGTGTAGGAAGATATCACTCACTGAGAAGGGCACATTTTACTGAGCCCTGAACAGGATTTCCAGGCCCGGCATCATTTTTGAATCTGGGAGTTACAAAGCAAGGAGAAAAAACTGAGTATAACACAGGGGGAAAGAGCAGAGACAGAGAAACGGCCTCATTTGTGTGGGAGAGCCTGGCAATGAATGAGAAGCAACAACGATGCAAAATGCTGTTTGCTACTGTGGAGCCTCGGCTAGGTATTTCATGCACGGCGCTGCATTTACTTCTGCCAGCAAGTGTATTGGTGTGGCTCAGCGCATCTTTCATGGTATTAACACCTGACAAATTCTGGAGTCAGGCCACAAAGGCTGGCCTCGGAGAGAAGAGCTGTCACTCACTGCAGGAGTTACGGGCCCCAGGAAAATCAGATCCTGTCTGGTCTCTTGCTAAAATTTCCCATCAAACAGGAGAGTCCAGAGGGAACGCCCCACAGGCAAAGTCTTTCCCTGCACCTCTGACCATTCACCACTAGTGGGCAGCTGGAGCGCACGGACATTTCATCTGGGCGTGAACAGCAACGTACAGCGCAGCTCCCTGTGTGACGCCAGGCGAGGAGCAGAGCAGAGGCTGTGCTGGGTTAAATACCCGGCTCCAACAAGACAGAGAGAGCCCAGCTGGCTAGCTCTGGGGCTGACAGCAGGAGGCGCTCACAGGGCAATGGTGCTCCCTCCTTGGCTTCCCCTGCCCCCTCTGAAGTGGTCTCTGGTCTCCCCCTACTCTGGGACTCATTCTCAAAGCAGGGATGAGAGGGCCTGCGCTGTACCTTTATGGTCTCCATGGGACACACCACCACCACGGCCTCGGCCACCCCGGCTCCCAAGCCGCACAGCAGCCCGCGCCTGCTGTTCAGGTTGCCCTTCTCATCTCTCATGTGGTTGCTGAGGAACTCGAACATGCCGAACCTGGACGGGGAGAAAGGCAGGCAATGCAAACCCCACCGGACTGGGCAGACACAGCTGCTGGGCACAGAGACGGGGCCAGGGCGAGGGGGATTTCCTAGTGCAGCTGGGCCAACCAGCTCAGCTGGAAGCTCCCGCCATGCCCCGTGGGCATCTCGCTATGGAGCCACGGGTCTGGCCTTTGGGTCGCCTCCAGGGGGAGCTGGGAGAACAGACCAGGGATGGCGACTCACTCTTCTTTCCCCTTACCAGCACCTGGGAGTGGCAGGAAGTGGCCAAGCCCCGCCGTAGCTTCAAACACCCAGCCACGCTCCGCCCATCTCAGGCCCTCCCACTGGGCGAAGCACAGATGCCCACACTGGGAAGGCAGGCACCTGTAAGCCTGAAAGCCCAAGAGAAGGGGGGTGGCAGTGCGCCTGACTCCCCCGTCTGAGCAGGCTGCTGACTGCTGACAGCTATTAGCTATTGGTTCTTGGTTGGCAGCTGGTAGAGAGAAGGCAGCAGAGCATCCATCCTGCTCGTCTCGGACTCACGCCCTCACGCCCCAGAGAAGAGCGAAGCTGATCTGCCAGCACTCCACTGCCCCCACCCTCCTGGGCTGGCGCTGAGGGTGGGGATGGGGACCGAACTGCTCAGAAATCACACGCTTTCTTCTGCAGCATCTCCTCCCTGGGGAGGCCACGGCTGCAGCAGCCAGGGCCTGCTGCTGGGAAAGGCTCAGCCCGGAAGAGCTGGGAGCTTCCCAAAGAGCACACTGCTAGCAGTGCCCTGGGGGAGCTCCCCACAGCAGGGCCTGCTGGCAGACAGGGCACTCCCCAGAGCCAGCCCTCCGGCAGCGTCCGCTCAGGCTGGTCCTGCTAAGAGCAGGATGGTTTTCTCAATCCATCCCAAAGGGAACGACCGTCCCGGGAGGCAGTCCCACCCCCAGCCAGGGAACTGGGCACGCTGTCCAGTAACGATTGGCCAGACCCACCTTGACGGCGACCGTCTGCGGGTAGATTCCAAACCACCTCGAGTCATTCCCTCCCCTCCCCGCAGCGGGACCGAGCTGCCTCAGCACTTCTCCAAACATCAGGCCACCTACGGACACAGGTGAGCGATGCCAATCGCTCCTTGGCAGGCAGCCCTCAAGGAGGGTCACTCAGGGCTCCTTGGACAGACCCTGCACTGTGCTCCTTTGCAGAAGCCACGTCCGTGGCCCTCAGGCCTGCTAGCCTGGGGCCCTCACAAGCCTATCCCTGCATGTCTGGCTTTTTTGGCAGTGCTGTTCTGCAGAAAGGCTGCGTGAGACAGACCCCCGGCCTGAGACTCCCTCAGCAACGAGATGGAGAGAAGGGGCCACTCCAAGAGACTCCTATGGGGTTTTTCATCCGCTTGTTTGGGGGCCTGGTGGGTGTCAAGGAGAGGATCAAAGGAGGATCACCTGGGCTCAGATTGCTGCAACTGCAATTCACAAACGCCTCAGGGGCAAGGCTGGAAGTCGCAGCCGGAGCGCCTTACCTCACGGCAGCCTTTGGGATGGAGCCATACACCAGTGAGCTGAGGCCTCGATAGAGCCCCTTCACTCCATGGCCCTGGACAGTCTGCTTCACGCAGTCCGCTAGGGGAGAAGGCACGGAAAGAGGGGTTTAGCAGGCCCGCCAAGTCAGCCCGGCAGCACCTTCCACCATTCAGGCTCTCCCTGGGCCGCGCACTCCCTGCCGTCTTTGGGTAACAGCCAGAGAGCAAAGGGCAGGGTGGGCGAGTGCCAGGGTGGAAAAGCTCGGGTAACGTGGTCACCAACGCCAGGCTGCAAACGCATCATCGCAGAGAACACCGGCCCTGTGCGAGTGGACGCGTTTGTCTCGTCGCTGAAGACAAAGCGGCCAGGACCCCACGTTAATGGATTTCCCCTCCCCCTCCAGCATGCTGCGGCTGTGGAATGTGAAGTCCTGAGTCGTGTCCCCCCCCAGTGAAGTTCAAGCCACATGCAGCAGGTGCCAGGCTATACGACTCGGCCTCCCTAGCTAGAACAGGGCAATGCCAAGCCCTTTGCAGAGCTGATCCAGGAAGGGAGAATGGCACAGGGCACTGTTCAGCCCTGGACTCAGCAAGTCAGAAGCCATGCTGCTGCAGATCCTCAGGACCCGGTTCCAAGCCAGACACGAAGCCAGGGGCTCTGGAACCAGCTCCCTGCTGTCTCTCCCTCAGCCAGCTGGGTTCTCTCTCACACTGTCAGCTGGGGCCAGGCTGGAGGGCAAGCAGCAAAGTGCAGCGGTGATACAGTACAGCATGCCACCATGCAGCCTGTACATAAGTAGAAGGTTATGATCCTGCCAGTCAGGGACCCCTGCCAATCATCCTGGACTGGAACGAGGCCGTCATCCCTGGAACGCCTCCAGCCTGGGCACCTGACCAGGCTACCGCCAACACGCCGTCTCCCTCAGTGACAACAGGTGTGCTGCATTGCGCAATTGACCAGGTCCGTTAGAGGGGAGCGCTCATCTCACAGCCAAGCCTCAGATTCTGGGGACTGGTGGGGGCAGGATGTCAGACCCGACCGCCCAGCGCTCTGATCCACACACCCTACTCTGAAATGGCTTCTCCCCCGTTTCCCTACTCTCCCCCTTGTGAGACAGGAAGGAGGCAAGCCCTCGAGTTCCAAGGGAGGGTCCTTCTATGAGAGGCATCTGAACACCCAGCTCACTCCCACCCCACGTAGTGATGCACACCCACCGGTGTCCCCCATGCCAGTCTCTGCCTAGCTGGCAGTGAATGACTGGCTGCAGCAGCTCCAATAGCCCCTGACACAATCGCCAGTCCCCGTGTTTGATCCCTAGCCTAGTCTCTCTGCGCCCACAGCTGCCAGGCTCCGGACTTACCGATGCCTTTGTACCGGGGCGGGTTAGCTTTCTCATCCAGCTGTAGCTGAGTCTTCACATACTCCGTAGGGAATGTAATGCAGATCTCAATGCCACCGGCAATACCACCTGGGGAGAACAAAGAGGGGGAAGATAGAACCGAGAACTGACAACACCTCAGTAGCACCTCCCCGATGCCCATTTCTAATTGCCCAACCCCCACCTTTCAGCACTTGGGAGTGGGGTCGCCTCCCAGGTAGGCACTTGGGTAAGGGCCAGATTTGCAAATCTGCTCAGCAACTAAGGAGCTCTTCTGAGCACCTCGTCCCTTATTTTGGTGCCTACATGGGAGCACTTTTGAACAATTGCTCCTTTGAAAATCTGGCCCTCGGTGCTTTCAACAGAGCAAGCTAGACATGTTCTGCCCTCCTCTTCTGTGTGGTCTGGTTAGACAGGGCAGGGACTGGCCCTTACTGCGTGTTTGTACAACACCGAGCACCCTGGGACCCTGGTCTCACTCAGGGCCTTTAGCTGCTACTGTCATACAATAATAATTTTGCCAGCAGAGGAGCATTTAGTGCAGGACTTAAAATACAGCCAGAGGTGTCCTGAGCAGAGCTCTAGTAAATATTTTCCAACCCGCAGCAGCCCCAGCGTGCTCTGCGGGTCTGAAGCCCCGAGCCCCGGGGCTCCGGGAAATACTCAGGGAGAATTTAAGCCCTGATTTAATGCCATCATTTCATAGCACCAGATGAGCTTTCAGTGCAGACCACAGACAGTTCAGGCAGGGGATAGACATGCCCAGACACGGACTAAAGGCCTGAATTATGATCTGGGAACCAGGAACTCCCAAATTCCAGTCCCAGCTCTAGCCACAGAGGCACTCAGTGCCAAAGGCACATGTAATCTTGTTCTGCCTCCTCTCCCACCACAGCCTGCAAGATGGGGATAACGGTAATTATCTGCCTCCCAGGGGTGACATGAAAATTCACTAATGTCTATAAAGTACTTTAAAGATACAGTGCTGGGTATGAAGTAGCTGCAGCCGAGACAGACACCAGTCCCCACTTCCTCCAACACTCCCCACGTTTCTGTCAAAGCTCTGTCTCAGCTGCTCCCTTTCATCCCCTTCATCCACGCCCGGCTCCTTTCACCCCCTGCCTCCAGAACAGCCTCTCCTTTCACCCCAAGAACCCTCTCCTCCTCCAGCAGACACACGAGTGAAGTAATCCAACTGAAAAGCACACAACCTGCTCCGTGCTTGTATCAGCCTGTGCCTTCAGATTGTGAAATCCTCAGGCAAAGGATCTGTTTGCGCAGCACAGCTCACCAGGTATACAGCACTGTGTGCTTATCGTACTCCCTGTGTCGGGAGTTTCTATCCGTACGTGGAGAGACCAACCGACACCAGGAAATTCTGGTCACTGTCTCATCCCCAGGCCTGTAGAGATATTAGGTGGGCAAGTAAAAGTGGCTTTGTGTTTTCATCAGCATGGTGAGGCTGGGCAAGTAGATTTAGTGTCTGGACTGGTACCTATCCACAGCAACTTCACAAGGCTGACAGCCACCAGCATCACCTTGGGGTTACACACTAAGTTAGCAGCACCACAGAACTGCTTGGATTTTCCCCACCTGGTTCCTATTACAGTAGTTTAAAGTTAGACCCCCGGGGTCTCTAGCACCCCAGTGCCCAAGCCTGAAGGGACAGGGCCAAGGACATAGATTAAGGCCACAGGGGGCCATTAGATCATCTCATCTGACCTCCTGTGTAACACAGGCCACAGCTCTTCACCCCGTTACCCATGTGCTGTGCCCAGTGACGAAATCAGAGCTTGTAGAAAGGCACCCAGACTTGATCAGCTGTCATGGAGAATCCACCACTTCCCTCAGCCCCATTCCTCACGGTTAAAAACTGGGCCATAAGTTCTAATGGCAATTTGTCTGGCTGCAGCTTCCAGCCATTGGTTCTTGTTCTGCCTTTGCCCCCTTTAGTACCTGGAGGTAACAGGTTAACAGCCCCTAAGCCAGCACTCCCCCCTAAAGGCATCAAGTTCATGATAAAATCTCCCTCCTTCTTTCTAAAGCAGGGCAGCCTCCTCTTAAAGAGGGCTACCTGAGCAAGGCCCCCACCGCCAGAGATCACAGGCACAGAGCTGTCTGCACAACTAGCTCTACAGATTTTCTTGTCCGAAGCAAACATCCTTCCCTGTCGGCCTGCAGTGACTCCCCCAAAGGGCTTCTGAGCATTCCCCTGCCCTAGGTAGCCAGCCTGGGAATGCTGAGATTCCACAGCTGCCATTAAATACATATGCACAGTAAATGGTCCATGGGAAAAACCTGCCACACCTGTTGTAATATAGGCACTGAAGCCAGGAAATCCCAAGTGCTAATTCCAGCTCTGGTACTGACCCGTTGGGTGGCCAGTGTTATTTATGTCTCTTAGGGTAATGCTCAGAGGTTCCACCCACTGTGCTAGGCACTGTACAAACGCAGGGAGAGCCAGTGCCTGCCCTGAAGAACTTGCAATCTATATAGACAAGACAGACAAAGGGTAGGAAAAAAAACAGACACAGAGATGGGAAGTGAAGTGATCCACACCGGGTTGCACAGCAGGTCAGCCACCGAACCAGGGACAGAACCCGCGTCTCTTGACTCCCAGTTTGGTGCTCTACCCCTTAGGCCGCACTGCCTCTTCTCCCCAGTCACATCCTTTTCTGTGCCTCGGTTTCCCCATCTGTGCAAAGAGGATAATAACTTAATCCGAGTGCCCCATGAGGCAGGTAACTAGTGGCTGCAACACTCCTGTTTAGTTGGAAAGCAACAAATCATGACTGCTCACTGCCAAATAGCTGCTGAATGACTATCCAGGACATGAACAAAGAGAAGCACCACACCAGAAAAAATGAAACAAGAGTGGTGCAGAGAGCTCTACTCTGAGCATGTCATCGCTGCAGTAAAGCCATGAGTGCGGGCCAGCCTGCTGCTCCAGCCCATTGCACGGGAGTGGGTGGGGAGGGGGGTTAAGAGAACAGGAAAGAGGCCAGATTGCCCTGATCAGTGCCATACCTAAAATGCTCACCATACTCATCACAAAATGGGGCCCACGTGACCGTGAAATCCTTATGGCAATCACGAGCCATCCTACCACGCCAATCCAGGCAGCAATTTCCACACCAGCTGCAGCTCCGGCTGGCCTGAGGGAGTCGCATGCAGAACTCGAGTATTAACTGATCAATAGCAGGGGAGGAATTAGACACAGGAGAAGGGTGTTTGCAGCTCAGATCTGCGAGGAGATGGAGCGAGTGAGGCGGAAGGATACAGGGAAGCTGGTAGTGCCGAGGACAAGGCTCTAGCACACAGAAGCAGACAAAGATCAGGAAGAGAAGTACAGACGAAATGTCACATTCATCAGGGATGGATGTGCTAGCAGGATTACTCAAAACAACTTCCACTTGGAAAAGCCCTTTTCACCTTTTAAACAACAACAACAAAGAGAAAAACACCCCAAGGATGGTGTTTAAGATCCCAGATGCCAACAGACTATCAGCAGCGACTTAAAAACAACAAAGCCACAGGCATCTGACTGTCCTAGCTACAGTGATCTCTCGCCCTTTGTGTCTGGCTGGAAGACGTCTTTTACACCATTCCCACTCAAATGTTTAGGCTGTGCGCCCCTTACAGCGCAGACTGGGTTTTCTTTGTACCCCGGGCTCCCAGCCTTCCCTTCCGCAGTGGCAGTTGTCAGCATGTGACGGAGGGCAGGATTTGGACCTACTGCAGGATTTGGAGAAGTGCAGCTTCCTGCTGCTACGTTTTTAGAGTCAGAGAGATCAGCAACAGGAACCTACCTGGCACTCGGGTTTGGCAGCCAAGTGCCGTATATTGGCTATTCAGTGCCAGAACATCAGTGTAATTGTAAATAAGCCTGCAGAGACATTCTGGGGTGAGGCGGCGTCGAGAGCAGTGGGAAGTTAGCAGGATTTTATTAGTCGTTTGAAAAAGAAAAGGAGGACTTGTGGCAGCTTAGAGACGAACAAATTTATTTGAGCAAAAGCTTTCGTGAGCTACGAAAGCTCATGCTCAAATAAATTTGTTCGTCTCTAAGGTGCCACAAGTCCTCCTTTTCTTTCTGCGGATACAGACTAACACGGCTGCTCCTCTGAAACCTGTCATTTGAAAAAGAGTTTCCCTTTCAAGAAATTCCACAGACTTTGGTGTGAAGAGTCCCCGGCATCCAGGCCGCTTGTGATGGGAGTATTTTGGGCCAAAATGTGTTTTCCTCAGACCCCCCAAACTTTTCTCGAGAGAGTCAGCAGCTCCAGCTCCGAGGCACCATCCCCGTATTCACACGGGCTGATTTCAGTAGGGCAAAGTAGCCCGGTTAAGGATAGTGTCAGATTTGACCCTGAATTCACTGTATGCTGGTGCTTTGTGTCACAACTGGAACAGCTCTTTTATTACTGAGGGATATTAAAATAGTTATGAAATGGCTGAAGAAATACCCCAGAATAGCCGGGGGGGGGGAGGGGAAAGGATGAGAACAACAAAATAAGAAAGCCTTTCAGAACTGCCCATGGGCAGCAGCAGAAGTATAAAAAGCATCTGCAATTCCTGCCCTGTAATGACAGGTTTCAGAGGAACAGCCGTGTTAGTCTGTATTCGCAAAAAGAAAAGGAGGCCTTGCGGCACCTTAGAGACTAACCCATTTATTTGAGCATGAGCTTCCGTGAGCTACAGCTCACACCGTCAAAGAAACTAACAAAAAACTTCTTTGGTGGAGTTTAGCTCTCCAAGATTTTGATTTCGACGTCCAACACATCTCAGGAGCTTCGAACAAAGTGGCCGATGCACTCTCCCGTGAAAGTTTCCCAGAATCAACTGGTTAAAATCGTCCTTGAGATGTAGAAAATATTGTTAGTCTTTATGTACTTGGTAGTATATTTAGAGATGCATGTGTCTTATTAACTCTGTTTTTCCTAGAGCTCCAGGAAGAAATCCCAGCCAGTGTTTCACCCTAGCTGAGATTTGGGGGGCGTGTCATAAATATAAAGGGAAGGGTAAACCCCTTTGAAATCCCTCCTGGCCAGGGGAAAGCTCCTCTCACCTGTAAAGGGTTAAGAAGCTAAAGG